ATGATCTTTTTTGAAAATTTCTAAATTTTAATGTAATACAAATACATATTAAAGAAAATAGAAAAACACCATTCTTCTATGAAAAATTTCATAATAAAATAGAGTAACAAGTTAATATGTTGTATCATAATCTTAGACTAGCCAAAATGTTACTCAAGTACAAATCATACACCAAAAGTGAAAGAGTCTCTCTTACAAAGAAAAAACAAATAAAAAGCAAAACTTCCTTTTCAGTGAACAAAGGAAACTGGTAGTATAAATGAAACAAATTACTCTTCATTTTAAAACATTTTTGAAACATCAGAATAGATAATTTGGGGAGTTATTTGAATTTCTGCCTAATTCCTATATACTTATCATATATATTCTCATATAAGAGAAACCATGTGATATTTAACATGATCGTGCCAGCTCAAACCACCTGTGGTACATGGATGACTGTCCCATTGGGTGACTTGAACCACCAGTGGCTAGCTATTTAGCATAAGATGATGGAACTCACACCAGAGCAGCCCAACAGTGAGACATATAAATTACAGACCCATCTGATGATATTCACGGTATAATTTCAATTCTTTTACATTTACTTAAGGTTGATTTATTGGCTAGTATGTGATCTATTTTAGAGAAAGTTTCATGAACTGTTGAAAAGAATGTGCATTGTGTTGTTGGGTAGAACACTCTATACATGTGTATTAAGTTTGTTTGAAGGTTTTGTTCAACTGATATTTATTGATTTTTTGGTCGTTTATTTGTATTAATGCAGTATTGAGGTTCCCCACTATAACTGTGTTTATCTCATCTTTTATGTCCAGTAGTATTTGTTTTATGAAGTTGAGTGCACCATTGTTTGGTTCATATTATGTTAATTGTTATCTCTTTCTGTTGGATTGTTCCCTTAACCAATGCGTAGTGACCTTCTTTGCCTCTTTCAATCAGTTTTGAAGTCTGAATTTGTCTCAATTCTAAGATAGCTGCTTTTGGGGAGGGTTTCCTGTTGCATGGAATATTGCTTTCCATCCTTTGATTTTTAATCTGTTCATTTCTTTTTGGGTTAAATGTTTCTCATATACAGCATACCACTGGACTTTGTTTCTTGATCCATTGTAACAGTCTGTGCCTTTTGTTTGGGGAATTGAGGCCATTCACATTGAGAGTTGTTATTGATAGGTGTTGACTTATTGTCATTGCCTTATTTTCTTGTTGCTGTTTTCCTATCTTTCCCTTCTACTTAACTGCTCCCTCTACCTGTTGTACACAATTTATTAGGTTAGGTGTTGACTTTGGTAAAACTACTTCATAGGTAGCAGTGTTTCCTCCATTGGAAAGCACTTTCAGCCTGACATGGTGGGTCATGCCTGTAATCCCAGCACTTGGGAGGTTGAGGCAAGAAGATTGCTGTTGAGTTCAAAGCCAGCCTGAACTTCATAGCAAGACTCTGTCTCTAAGTAAATAAAGTTTGTTTTTTGTATTAATACATATAATAAATAAATTTGTTCTTGTATTGAGAATATATCTCTTCTACTTATACTCATCTCCAGAAGATGCAAAATGGTGAGACTGTAATATTTTATTTTTCAATCATTAAGTGGAAATTTTTAAAGAGAAATTAACTCTCATCTATTACTTACCTACTCAACAGTACAGTTTCTATGGAAAAATCAGGAAATACTGAATTCTTTGGTGTTTATTAGCTTTCAAAATAATGAGTTCACTAGCTATTGCCAATGGTAATTAACCAGTGCTTTGGATATTGTGTGGCTTGTCTATTTCCTTATGTAGCATCATTTTGAATCGTGTACATAAGCTTATTCAATGGTAGATTCACTGCTGTTATTATATATATTGTTCAAATTGTGCTATATTGAAATTGGATCACCCATCCTTCTGAGATCATACTAAATAATCCTTGGCAGCTTTCTTGGTATTGCTATGACAATGTATTACGATTCATCTCATCCATTTCCTGTTGAATATGCCTATTTTTCTTAGGTAAAGTATCTTGAGTTTATACTAATATTTCCAATTAAAAAATAGAGCTACACAGATTTTATTTAGTGTATTACCTCAATTAAGAATCCCAGTCCTATGTAATGCATTTAATTAAAATCACATAATTATTCACTTGATTTATCCCAACATTTTGATTCCACATAATTATAGAATAATACCAGCACTGCCATGACAAGTCTACTGTCAAATCTAAAATAATTTTTTATAGGCTTTTTTTCCTCCCCTAGGGCAAGTGGTGGTGAACCTATGGCATGTGTGCGCACAGGGCTATCATTGAAAGCTCTAAAAGGCTCATCACCACAGCCTTAGGGCATGTTCCACTAGGGATGTACAAATTATTCTGTATCACTTAAAATTTTCCTCTGGATGGCTGTAGTACCAACTGGATAGATATTTAGATATCTTTTTCTTTTCTAAGAGATCATTTCACTTTATAATTTTGTAAAAATATTTAAATGACCCTGAAGTCTAATAAACAAAACATAGTATATATTCAATATGTGTATAGCCAACCTTCTCAAATAGTAATAGCATAGAATATACTTTTCTCTGGTTTACATTTCAGAGTTAACAGTATTCAGTAGTAACAGAGTTATTCTTACCACCACATAGCATCCATTGTGCAGATATACCATAGTATTTAATCTCTTGGTCTGATTTTTGCTATTACAAATAATTGTGTAGTAACTTTGTGCATGTCTTTTGATTTTTACAAGTGTATGTTTAGGATAGAGTCCTATAAATTGGATTGTTGGGTCAAAACATAAATGGATATGTAATTCTACAATAGCAGTTAAATTTACTTTCATAGAACCATTTTTCCATGATCATTGGCAACATGGCCTGTTTCCTCACAACTTCATTAATCATATTGTAAGATTCAGGATTTTGCCAGTCTGTGAGAAATGGTAACTCCATATAGTTTTAATTTTCATTTTTCTTATTTTGAGTGAGATTGAGGATATTTTCATATAGTTAAAAATCATTTACATTTTTCCTATCCATTTCTGATTCAGTTTTCTGTAGATTTTGTTTAGAAATGAGTCAATCTTTTTAAGAAAAATTCAGTCTCTAACCCTTTGTAGTCGTATTTCTAAGATTATATTTTTATTAGTACATGTTTGCAGTTATGTTTACATTTCTTGTGTGGACTTGGTACATACATGTATCATCTTGCTTTTGTCATCCCCTTTCTCTTCCATCTCTTGACACCTTGCCCATGTGAGAAAGATCTAGCACCTTACTTCCTGTTAACTTTTATTTTGTACTTTATAATTTGGGTTTCTTATATAAGAGAAACCATGCAATATTTAAGCTCGTGTTTAACCTATTTCACTTAACATGGTCTCAATGTCCATTAACTTACCTGCAAATGATTCTAGTTTATCTTTATGACAGAATAGTACTCCCTTGTGTTAAAATACATTTTCTTTATCCATTCTTCTGTTGATGGTCATACAACATGCTTCCAAGTTTTAGCTACTGTGAATTGTGCTGCTATAAACATGAGTATCCATGTATCACTGTAATCTGATGTCCTTAACTCTTCTGATACCAAAGGGGAATAGCTGGGTCAAATGGAATTTTTAGTTTTTTGAGTAATCTCCATACTGATTTCCATAGTGGTTGTACTAGTTTATATTCCCACCAACAATGTACAAGGGCTTTTCTCCCACAGACTTGCCAGCATGTTATTTTATTTCTTGATAATGGCTAATATTTAGAATATATGAAGAACTCCAAAAATTAGACCCTCCTGCAAATAAAAGACCTAATCAAAAAAATAGGCAAGTTTTCTTGAGAAGTGGTAATTAGCACCACATACATTAGCACCAAGTGCACTCATACCAATATTAAATATGAGAAAAACACTGAGCATTTGAGTCATAAACCAGTTCCTTGCTAAGGAGCTACCAAGTAATTGTTGAGAACTGAGATTTTTCACTGACAGATTTTTCAAAGATTTTTCTCAATTGTTAAAAACTGAGATTTTTCTGACTGTAAACTTGACATCTCCAATTTACTTTTCTATGCTTGTTTTCTTAGCTATGTCTGATGACTTTACACATACCTCCTTAAAACTATTGCTACACACAAGATACTTAAGCCAAACTACCGTAAATTCTTTTTGATAAGCAGCAGAACATAAATAAAAATCCGTAAGTCATTTACCCTTTCCTGTTTCATTATTTGGTCTTATGTCACTTCCTTTTCAAAACTCTGTGTCTGCCCAAACATTTAAAATGGGGCTCCAAAAGGCCCTTCCATGTTCGTGCCACAATTCTTTATAGAATGTCTTCAATTATTTGTTAAGCCATTGTTTTTCTCCACCTCATGCCTTTTCTTGTAGTACTGGTTCTCAAAACATGGAAAAAAGAATGGCTTTTTGACTTCATGGTGGGAAATGAGGCAAATGTTGAGGCTCATAGTAGACTCAATAGTGGTTCTCTAAGATGCCCACGCCAAAAGTTCCTGGAACCTGTGAATATGGTACCTTCAATGACAGTAAGAATTTTGCACTTGTGACTATGTTAAGCACTTGAAGTGAGACACAATGTTGTCCTAATGTCCTTATAAAGGAGCTATAGGGAGATTATAAGACCAAAGAGAAAAGACTAGGTGATGATGCAAGGAGAGAGATGTAAAGATGTTACACTTTTGGCTTTGCAGATGCAAGGATCACTGAGCTCACAGAATTCAAGAACTGCAACCCTGTAATATGGAAAAGGCAAGGGAATGAATTCTCCTTTAGGACCAACAGAAGAACTTGCCCTGACAACACAGTGACTGTAGCCTATTGATACCAATTTTGGAATTCTGGCCTCCGAAATAAGAGAATTAATTTTAAATATACAGTAATTAGTTTTATTAGAAATAGGAAATGGGGGCCAGGGATTTAGCTCAGTGGTGCCACGCCTGCCTTGCAAGTGCAAGGTCCTGAGTTCCAGTCCCAGAACCAGAAAGAAAAAAACAGGAAATGAATACAATGCTTTTAAGAAGTTTTTATTGTGAAATATTGGATTTAGAAAAAAAGTACAAAATGTCAATAGTCAGATGTGTACAAGTACAGTATTTCAATTGTATGTACATGTGAACAGCTTAACAGGTTCACTGCAGAATGCATATTTAGACCAATACAATCTAAAAAGGACTTCAATATTCACAAGGCTATTAATACATAAATAACGAGTCAAAATGACCCTCACTGTTAAACGCTAAATAACTGTGGAAAACAGGCTAAAAGCACAATACGGCACACCATAATATCTCCTTACAGGTCCACACTTAAAGAATATCAGCTCATTATGTCAATACACTATAGATCAGAACTGGGATTCAATTACTAGTTTATACAATTGCAAAAATTTAATTTATAAATAAGGTTGTCAAACAAAGAGGTTTTTAATTAGGACTAAATACTGTGAAGCCCCTTAGTGATTTTAGCCATGGGAATTAAAAAGCTTAGTTATTTAAAACTGATTTTTAATTTTAATGTTAGCTGGGGTGGGGGGGTTCTTTTGTAGAATCTCCAACAAGGTATAAGAACTCTAAAAGTTTATTTCAGAACTATAATGACCACTGTGGATTGACAAATGGCTATGAAACCAGAATATAAAACATTACAAATTTTAAAGAAAGATAATGATTATCTTGTGAATTTAGCAAATCTTGCAAACATTAAAATCCATGTTAAGGCATTATCTACCATAGCTGAGAATACTAAATTTAAGATTATTACATGAAGATCTCATAAAAATAGCTTTGAGTTTTTCCAAATCTTATTGACTCAATCATTTGCTATTACTTCAAAATTACCCTAGATTATATGTTTCCAAATTGGACAAATATTATCACTTCAGAATGAACAATGAACAACTATAAGGATACTCTACTGAAATATGAACTATTTTAATAAGAAATGTTACAATCATCATGTGGTCTTAAGAAAGCCAAACATTTTTATGAAATTCATAATCAGTATTTGTCTAAAAACATTCCAAACTAATCTAATAAAAATTCAATCAAAACAAATTTAGTTTTGTCCATAAATTCTAAAGGAAAGAACTCTTTCATCCTATACAGTGTATCTGATAATGCCTGAGCTTTCAAAACTGAACTAAATGTCTGAACTGAAATTAAATAGATCAATTTCCATTACAGACTAAAAACTACTAGATCAGAATATAGTTAGGCAATAACTTCATATAACCTATCTCACACCATCTTTACCTTACATAGAAAATTTTAAAGACTTTGAGACAATTTACTTATACATAGTGCCTGAATATTATAGTAGACTCCAATTTAAGATAAGCATAGATTAGATTTTAAAAAGTTAATTTTTTTTTAGATTTGCATTAAATTTATAAACTACGTATGATATACATAAATATTAACTTAGATATAACCACAAATTATAGGGCAAGCAAATATATGGACCATTGTAGAAACATTATAAATTTTAAAGAAATTTTATATTAAAAAAATAAAGCAAAACATGTAAATCATAGAATACGAACATGAAGCCATATAACAAAAAATAAAATTACTCTATCAGAAAAGATTTAAAATTAAATCTTTAGGGAATTATTTCAACATAATTAAATGCATTCAATACCCACAGCTTCCCAGTATCACACAGAAACTAATCACAAAATCACCTAAAGTCTATATGCATTATCAGTTAGTTCATAATGCAACCTCAAAAACGTTACTATCAACTTTGATTTCTTTTGAAATAGGCTTCTGTACATATGCATTTATATACAAACATTTATTAAACATGATTTTAAAACAAACTATGTACAAAAGATCAGCATTCCTATAAATAAAAACATTAGGTGGCAAAAAGGCACTTGTAAGTAAAAATCTACAGTAGTTTTTACAAAACAAAAACACATTTTACCTTGGATACTGTACAATAAACATTAACTCCAATACTAATAATGAAAATGGTATGTTAGTAATTCATGTTAATGATGTAACTTTTAAAAACATATTTACATGTACTCTGGAGTTCATTTAATAAAAGCACCATGATTCTCTCCTAAATTCATGTTGATCCAAAGTAAAAATACAATTCCAAAATACCAGTGTTACTCATTTAAAAATTTTTGTACTTCTAATTGAAAACTATTTATCTGAATCTAGTATAGTGTTAAACAAACAAAGAAGAAAAACAAAAACCAAAAAACCCTGCTGCTTTCACTTCTTAAAACCATACCTACTCTATTATTGCATGTTGCATTTTATAAAGAGCACTACTCATGCACTCCTTTACAACTGTTTAATACTATTGCTGGCAAAAAGTTCTTGGATATCAAATAATTAAAAAGTTACTTCAAACCAGTTGAAGTTTTATTTCAATGTTTTACAACTTAAAAAATGCTATATATCAGTTACAAAAGTGAATAGGAAACACACCAATTCATTTGATGCGCAAAAATATGGGCGTCATAGAATTGTTCCCCCAAATTTACATTGTAAGCAGAAACACTTAACAAATAATTTTTTCAAGGAGATGTTAGTACGCTTCCACTTTTGTCAAACTTTTTACCCTTTGACAATGCTGCAACCTGTTTGAGTAGTTCTCTGTTTTTAGCCTGTGAGAGACAAAAATTCAAGATTTAAAAAGTCTGACATATTGAGTCATCCCGATTACTACTAAACTTTAATACTGTTCATTTATATAACAAAAGATTTCACTGAAAACCTAACAGATCAAATGGAAGAGTTGTTATATTTAAGTTCATCCCTTTCAGGTTATAGACAAGTAGAAGGAAGATTCTAGATTAATCAGCTCCCTTGGTAAATGTTAGTATTAATGTAATTGCTGTCCAAAGACAACAGTTGGTCACACAAAAAAAGTAATAAAATGAATTCCCTTAAAAGAAGTTTCAAAGTTTAAATACAGGAAAAAATATATGGTCTTTTACTTAAAACATGAAAACTACTTAAATAAATTGATCTTATAATTAACAAAAAATCAAAGAATGAATCAAGTGGGAGGATTCTTTTCCAGCAAGCTGTATAAGGTCTTTCATTTGATGTTTACCTTAGAGGACAAGTGTAAGAGAGATCATTTTTGCAAAAATACTCCTCACTTTATCAAAGGCCCTATCTTAATGATACACAATTTCTTTCAAGCATCCATTAGAACCACCTTCTCTGGCCTTATTTTTGTTTTAGCTGCCAGTCACTTGGTACTGTGCTGGTATGATCTAAGTAGTTTTATATCACTTTTTAATTTCAATAAAGCCCAGTTTTTTGTTTTTTTTTGCAAAGATTCAAAATTTCATTTTGCCAATGATCTGAACTGAATTTGCACTTCGTTATTGTGTTTCATCTATCACTGACAGAGACAGTCCTTGATCCAATATGCTGTGACTATCACTAATGTTTAGAAAGGAGAACTGAGTAAGCAGAAACTTCCAAAAAATATTTTCATATTTTGACTGCCTCTGCCATTCTAGAGTCTCCAAACTCAGTGACACATTTTTAAAGTTTCTGAGCCAAAATGTGAAGAGTAATAAAAACAGTTTAAAACTTGAGCCCTGCTACAGTTTTAAAAGATATCCTCTGGTTGATGTTTTAAAATCATTTTACCTCATAGGTTTGAAAATATTTTTTTCAAGACAGACTTTTTTAACTTTAGGGTTTCATTTTCTATTTTTTCTACTGTAAATTTAGCTTTTGTATGACTAGATAATACTCTAATCTCTGTATGCCACATTAAAATAGCTTAATGAAATATAAACATTTTACAGCATTTGTACTTCCATTTCCTCACTCTCCTCCAAACTCTTCCTATTAATACCTCTGACCTTCAACTGCAAATATTCTCAGTACTATTTTAAATGTTCAATGAAATAATTTCGTGTTTAATTGCATAAATAGTTTCCATAGTCAATATTTATTAAATAAATGAAGTGACAATGAAGTTTCAATTTCAAATTCAGTATCAACTTCAAATTTTAAAAACCATCAAAAAAGGATATAAACTTAACAGTTCAAGTAACTCAGAAGGCCAACTAATTGAGAATGCTTGGCAGAGAAAATCAAGTAGCATACTCATAATCATTTAATTTTATTACTCAGCAGACCAGTCACTGTGGTAGTTAAAATTTTTTCCTTGACAGCTGTATCATATTAGATTTATAGCTACAACAGACCCACTGGACAAAATCCAAAAATTTAAGAAACTAAAATTTCAAAATATAAAGTCATGAAAAGCATAAAAATCTGCCTCAAAGAGCCCACCAGATCTGCAAGATACATTCATATAAAAATGTTTATACTGATAAAATAAATGGCTACAAAGTAAACCTCCAAATTATCTTAATCAAGAAATTTTTAAAAATCAACTTTTTAATATTCTAAGTACAAAATGCAAAAACTCGAAAATTAGGTCTTGAAAGTAGTTTTTCCTTTTAATGCTCTAGCAAATTTTTAATCTGCATTTATTTAGTCCCTAATCATACTATACATTTATTTGTTAATAAATTATATAAGAAAAAGCCTGTAAGATAAATAGTGCATCAGTTGTTAAATGAATACAATTCCAAATTTAGTTTAAGTGTAATAAATATTAACACATCCATAATGCAGCTCTTAAATTCCTGTCTTGCTGCCAGATGGTTTGAACCACCAGTGGTACATGCATGACTGTCCCAATGGGTGACTTTTTATTAATTTTATTAATAAAAGTGATTAGATTCGTTAGTATTACCAGTGGTACAAGCTACCTGGTGGAACTGTCATGCATGTAACCACCAGTGGTTCAAGCTGGTGGGACTGTGTTAATTATATAATGTAATATTTAAATATATGCACATTTAAATATATGCACATTTCAACATTTTTAATCTTAAAAATTCTTTATTATGCTTCCTGCAAAAGTAAATGAAATTATTTTAAAACTCTTAAGCAAGTTATAAGCATTTAGACATGTTACCCTAAAGAATATCAGAATTAAGAAATTACACAGATTCTGCTTTAAATCCTGGTTCTGCCACTTACTTACTGTGTAATCTGGAGTGTATCTTCTTATGTGTAATACAGAAACTTCAGTTCTTTAAAAATGAAAGAACTAATCAAATATATAAATAGACCTAAAATAATGACTGGTACATTGTAGGCATACAAATGTCAGTTTTCCCTTTTAGCCACTTACCTATATTAAAGGAACAAAATTTTTATTTGGAACTCTTAGTATTTATGGGGTATTTTATACATTTGTCTTGGTGAGGTTCAGGGCTTACTCCCAAGTTTGAAAGTTTAAAATATCTTATGAGTTAGTAGAGCAAGATGAATTTTGTTACAGAATTTAATTCTTTATCATACTCCATTCTTAAAAATAAGAAAGTAACTATGTTTACTCAGTTCACTAGAGAATTCCACACAGGCTGCCAAAAGGAGTGGGTAAAAAGATGGCACTCAGTTATGACAGAATTTCTCTAGAAACAATACAAAAGGTACAGGGAATGGTCTGATTAAGAAACAAAACAAAACACCCTGAATAACCTGAGATAGTGGGAACAGTGCACAACAGGGGAAAACCTGAGGCAGAAGATGTTTCTATTTCTTACTAATTTTATGTCCACAGTTTCATCTGTAAAATGATCATCCCATATAACTCAGTTATTGTAAAGAGTAAGGCAGCACATGTGAAAGTGTTGAAAGTGTCCTACTTTTATGTAAGTATTACCTACTGAGGTACTATATGAAGCTTCAGCTACCAACCAAAAGGAGGTAGGTTTAAGATACTAATCAGGATAAAGCAAAGAGGGTTCTCCAGTGCTTGCAACTACAGTTTAAAATTAAAAACTGATTTTTTGAGCAGTGGAAAGAACTATATTAAATCATGTTTTTGTTTTGTTTTGTTTTTTTGGAGACAAGGTCTTGCTATGTAGTGCAGGCTGGCCTTGAACTCACTATGCAGCCCAGGCTGGCCTTGAACTCACAACAATCCTCCTACCTCAGCCTCCTGAGTGCTGGGATTACAGGTGTGCACCACCATGCCTAGTTTAAATAATGTTTAAGTACTGGTTATAGTTATGATGTTATTGAAGTCTGGATTTACCTCAGAGCTTTGGGTACATCACATTAAATCAGAGATCATTAGGTGGGAGATTATATTCCAGGTAGTCATTCACTGTTACTTAATTAGAATACCACAAAACTCAAAGTAATACTTGCTAGTTGGTGAAAAACAGTAACTAATACACAAGAAGCCTGATATATAATATAGGCAATCTCTCAAGACAGATGGCAGATTGGCATTTCCATAAATCATCACTCATTTAACAAGTTATTTGAATGCCTACTATGTCCCAGATTCTACGAGAAGTTCCTCTTCAAAAATGTAATAGTAAGATCAAGATTAAGACCAGACAATCAGTCTGCATTTCATCAGCAAGTACCTAAGTCCTACTCAACTTAAGCTACTTGCAAAGATACAAAACCACAACATGAGAATAGCCAATATCCCTTGGTGTTAAAGCAGTATTTTAAAAAATAAAAATAACAACAAAAAACTAGGGCGGGCAGGCGGGCTGGCTCACTTTCTTTCCTTCTTTTAAAACTATATTCTTTCATCAAGTCTGAAGTCTATGGGCTGACATCATCTATTCTTTTAAGACTTAAACCTCTAAACCGTAAAACTGGGTTACTCAAAGACTAGTTCTACAAATGTTAGAATTTCTAAAATGAGAACATGTAATTAATTTAGTGTGGCTTCATTTCTAAATTTGTAAAATGCAGGTAGTAATAAGCTTTAATAAGAAAATAATCTGTATCTATATTATATTGAATGTTTATCATCCCTGCAGGTGAGACATGATGTTCTACCCGTTACTTTGATACCTCCCAATTTTGCCATTCATTCTGCATCTTTAAATACTGCTTAATATACTTTGCAATACTCTTGAGACTGAAATCATTAACAAGCTGTTGGCATAGAGGAGTCATCTGGCACTTCACAAACCAAGCTGCACAGGTTAACTACACTCTTAATTTAAATCACTGCAGACAACATACATTTCCTTCATTCAAGATCCCTGAGAATTGGTTTTCTATAGTCACTCCCTTTCTCATAATCTGGAGATAAACAGGATAAATGATTGCACTAAAGACCTCATTTACAATTTAGTTCCATAAATATGTTATTTAAATTTTTTTGCTGTTAACCTAATGATCAAGTAGACATATTCCAATGGTTTCTTCTTCTGAAACTTCATTTCAAATCTAGGCTAGTTTCCAGGATTAATGTACTGAATTACCTTTCAAGTGATTTCAAACAATACCTTTTAATGGGGTCACCATTAAAAACATTAAAACAGAAAATGCAATATTCATAAAATGGTGATAATTCAATCTAAGTCATCAAATGCTATTATCCAAGTATAGCCTTTCTTGACTATTACTTTACATAAATAACATCATTTACCTGAAGTTGTTCCACAGTTTCTTTATGAGCTTTTTCCATACTGTTCATCTTTGTTCTCAAATTTGACTCTTGGTACTGGAAGTCTGCCTTGAGTTCAGTTAACTGAGATTAAAAGAAAAAGGAGATACATAAATGTGTGTGTGTGCACATATATGTAATTTCTGTCCATGTACAGAGACCATTTAAAAAATTCTTTACAATAAACTCACACTCATTGTAAAAATGGAAGATGTTAATAGCAGTTTCTCAAGTTTTATAATCAATTTAGAATTTGTCTTGTGTGAGTACTGTCTATTAGAGTACAATTTTAGTGTTAAGATTACACCTGACTAGCAAACTTTTGAGAAGCTGCTTTTTTGTTTTTCAACACAGTTTGACAACTGGCATCCTGAAAGGTTACAGATATAACTTGGGAAAGTACTTAAGTTAAAATGTTGTACATGTTAATATAAACTAAACATTTAAACTGGTTTCAGGTGAACATAACCTTTCAATGATAAAAGGAAAAAGTTTTACATTGGGCAAGTGTAAAGGGGAACATTTTCATCATCCAAGAGTTCTGTTTTTATTTATAAACTTCTGTCCAGGATTATATACCACCACAATATCATTTTTACTTGAGGTAAAAATGAAGAACAAAGTACAGAAGTACAACTAATGTAGAATGAACACAGGAAGGGATTACTATTTTAGTGAAAGGTAAGAAAAAAAGCCCAATAGTTTGAAGAAGGAAAGACATGATCACTTTTTTCATAAATATAAATTAAATATAAATGACATAAATAATGTAGTAGCTCATAATTTAACTAAAAGTTGTTATATAATTTCATTATCAGAACCACTCAAGTCTATAATAAAAATTATAGACATTTTTAAATGTCTATAATGCGGGCTTCAAAAATTTACATGTCTTTTTTTTTCTTCCAAAATTACCCAGTACCTAGTAAACTAAAGGATGTATAACATCAATATGAAGTCACAGTGTCTTACATTCAAATAAAAACTCTTGTTTTTGACAGATTCAAAATCTAACTAAATTCCCTTTCAATTTTCTATACAAGAATTCCTGTTCTGAAATGCCAACTGACACCTACCAACTAAGATAATTATTCTACTTACTACACTGTGAGTTGCTTCCAGACTATCACCTTCTGGAAGATATGTGTCTTATCTGTCTTTGCATCCTCATGCTCTAGTACAGTGCTTGGCTGTAGAAGTCACTGAATAACTGTTTATGAAATACATTCAGGAAAACAATTTGCCTGTCTGATACATTTAAGAAAAAGTTGAAAATGTGTAGCTATTTTAGATTTGTAATTATTTTCCTTATAAATGTGCTAATTTCAAATCCCAGTGGTGTTTTCTTTTTCTTTTAAAGAGGAACACTAACAATGCAGAAAATTTCAACTAGTTTTGTTAATTCAGGGGGAAAAAGTCAGTATACATAATTTATTGATACTTGGTTTTTAAATCACTGCTCTTTTGTCAAAATTTGGCATTTTACTCAACTTTTTTCAAGATTTATGTAAATATAATTTGGCTTTGTCTCTACAGTTCTGTGCATAGAATATATTTCCATAAAAGCTCATTATTTTTTAAAAAATTATCAATTAAAAAGAACTACAAGGACAAGATATCTGTAACTATCCTATTTTTATCTGACATGTCAATCTTAATTTTCATACACTGGATTTACTTAAGATAAGGTACAAATGTATTAAAATTTTAGTCCATTAACCATCAAAGTGTGAGAAACCATAATACAAAAGTTGTTGAACAGATAAAAGCCAGCTCTGACATTAGTGCTACAATAGCTACTCAGAGAAAAATGATTCATATATATTTATAATCATGTCTTATTCATAATTTTAAAAGGAATGCTTTTAATATTCTAATACACGAGATGTTTAATATAGATCAACCTACATTATCTGGGACCATAAAACAAGCACAAAAACAGGTTCTATCCTCAATAATGACAAAAACTTCAGCAATATCACCTATGAGCACTTATACATCTCAGGAACTGTAGTAAATACTTTGCACACTCATTTAATCATGATAACCTCACAAGGCAGTACGGATGTTCTTATTTTTCAAATGAGAAAACTGGGGCTTAACGAAATGAAAGCATTCACTTCAAAGTCACAAAGCGTTAGAACTGCAATTTGAACCTGAGTATGGCTGAGTGACTTCAAAACCCACCTGCTGCTCCATGCCTACTTGCTATTATGCCATCCTGATTTCATATAAGAAAACCTTAAATCTGTTTGTAATTTTGTTATTACTCTTTTTGCTAAATAGACAACATATAGGATATTTGTCTTGATTTAACTAAGTCCCCAAAACTAAATGATACTAAACACCTATATGCTATTCATTACTAACTGCTACCACACAAGAAATTCCCAGACTACTACTTCTCAGCAATTATTTGATCTGGAGTGACCATATTCAACTACCTTCTTAAATCATAAAAATTTATACAGTATTTCATTTTTATCTCATTTACAAATCAAGATATGAGACCTTTTTAAAAATTACATGCTTAATGAAAACTAATGTTCAGAAATTATTACTATTCTAATTACTCTGTTATTCTTGGAAGTACAAAATTTTGAAAGATAATTTTTAACTTCATTAGATGGCTTTGATTCTAATTTGAGCTTCTGAAATTTATCTGATAGGAATCATGTACAATAAACATTACCAAATTGTTAAAAGAAAAGTTGCAATTATCAAGCAAGAGTCAAAATGTAAATCTTATCAGGCTTCTGTGAACCATGTTCTTACCTTTTTATCTTTTTCTAAAATGGTCTGGTCTCTTTGCTGTAAGAGACGCTTAAGTGACATCACTTCTTCTTTCAGTTGACTTATAAGGACAAAATTGTCTGTTCCCCCACTATCTGCTGACTGATTTATAGAGCTACTAAAAAGAAAAAAAGTAAGACACAGTTAAATGAAGTAGAAGGAAAATTAGCAGGTGTTCAAATTGCATAAATTAGACAATTCCACAAACATCCTTAAGGCTAATGCAAAAAAATATGTACCTGACAGAAATGGATGCAACTGGCAAATTACCTTACTAATGGCACACATTACATACACCTGCAGAAATATAATTCAGTATTAGCTTTTAGGGGATCAATACTTCTAGTGTAAAGCAATAGGCAGCCAATTTGTACAGTAACATCAGCAAACTTTTGGCTAATGAACTAAAACAAAGTCACACTCATAATATTTTAAAACTAAAAACATTTTCTAAGCAGGTCAATTTTAAAATATCACAATCAGATCTGTGTTTCTTTGAAGAACAATTAAGATAATGTTCTCTATTCAGATGTTTTCTTTTTGCAACACCCAAATTTATTCCCCAACTAGAACAACATAGTTTAGTGCCACTTTCTTATTGCCAAAATTAAGTTAAAATGCTCTTAACTTTTCTAGGTGACTCAAAAGTCAGTGTAGAAGATAACATATTTCTATGCTTTTATCTAGTAATAACTGGCAAAGAATCGTAACTGTTCAACTAAGATGAATTTTTGCAAACACTAAGGAATTCATTTTACCTATCTCCATTAGATGGCTTAGATTCCAATTTGGGCTTTTTCTTTGGAGTTTCATTCTGAATTGCTGCAGAGGATTTATGGCTGAAACCAAACATTAATAATAAGAATAATTAGAGTAAAAAGGGCAGAAGCATCAAATCATAAGTTACTTTTCTTGCCCTAAAATATTATTGAACATCACTAAAATTTTTTGAAAGCCTATTTACCAAAATTTAAGGAATATCACAATTTTAAGAATACATTTCAAATACTTTAGAAAATGTTAATGTATTTACCTCTGTTTCCACAGTCCCTGCTCTTGTTCTGGACTTAGATTGCTGATTCTGAAAAGCATAAACAACATCTGATGCCAACATGTATTTACTATATCTATATTTTATAAAGTTCTTTCTCAACAGAAATTAAATTATATGTTATAATAAACAAAACTTTATAAATTATATTCAGAGAAAGGCAAAATTAAGTTTTCAGTTAAGCCAATATATTGAATAAATCACATTCTAATGGGATAAATTCTAATCAAATTACTAGCCATCTTAAATTCTTTAGAACAGGGAGTACAATGATAGGAGCTAGTTTTTTTTCAACAATATTTCCATAATTCAATTTAATATCACATAAAGAGTTGAGGTATATGAGCATAAAATCTACACCACAGAGTTCTATAATTATGAAATCTAGCAATCACTACACTTCAGCTGCCTTTAATATTTCATAGAGAAAAATGTTCATCTTTAAAGTTAAGATTTTGGGGCCAGAGGTGTGGTAGAGTGCTTGCCTATCATTAGCTAGACCCCAGGGTTTGATCCCCACCACTGCAAACAAAATGAATAAATACAAATACAACGGCATATTTTTTTAAAAAATAAAGACTTTTCCTATAAACTTTAATCAAGACTCCTTTTCCAAGTAACTCAGGTTGCTCAGAATAGTGTGTCAGGCTGGTTGAGGACTACTGTAATTTCTCAGATTCTTTCCCAGTTTCCTACAAATCCTCTTCAAACTCTTTAGGCCTCTCTTTAGTCAGCGCTCTGAGGAAATTATGTTGCAAATACTGGGAAGTTTAACAGTAAAAAATAATATTATATTTACATATAATAGTGTAGCTTCTTTTCCATTTTACCCTAATAACCATTTCATATATGAACCCTATGTTTCTTCTTGCTGTACTTGCACTTTAATAAATCATTCACTAACCCCTACCTTATTACTCAACATCTCATCTGTAAAGTGGTATTATGTATCTTATACGGATATGAGCATTAAACAAGTTATATAAAATTTACTGATTCCTTAGTTATGTAAGATTTTTCGGGAAAGGTAAAAAATAGACAATGTTCTTAAGAATCATCTGTAAACAAATATAAAAGTGAAATGGTAGCTGTAATTCCAACACCAAAGTTATTTTTTACTGTGGCAATGAGTAGCAACTCTACTGAGGAATTCACTTGTTTCTTTTACAAATTTCATTACAGTATAAGCATTAGCAACCCATATAATTACATATCAAATAAGAGTACTAAGCAGAAAATATATTAGTAATAAGTAATTAAAAATAGTTGGAATTCTCATCTTAGTTTCCTAAGGCTGTCCATTCTCAGAGTCAAATTGACCTTAATGCCACCCTTCCACCACCATTATCCTCTCCCCATCAATCACCATCTATTATAATATGTATGGTCCTCATATTTGTTCTAATGTACTCAATTTAAGATAGAATCCTACAAACTGGTTGTTCAAAAATGGTCATTAACCACCAAATATAAAAATACCACAGTTGGCCGTCTATAACCTCAGGTTCTGCATCTGAGGATTCAACCAACTGAAGATGGAAAAATGTAGTTAATATTAACAATGGTGGTTGTTATGGTTTAAATATGAAGTGTCTCCCAAAGAATCATGTATTAAGGGCTTGATTCAAAATGCAGCAACATTCAGAGGTGAAGTATAGTGAGGTGACTTGATCACAATGGCACTAACCTCATCAATGGACCAATCCATTGATGATTCACAGCTGAATGGGCTATTGGGAAGTGCGGCTCAGGTGGAAGATGGTCACTGGGGACTTTCCTTTGAAGAGTGTATCTTGTCCCTGGCCCCTTTCCCTGCCAATTTCCTTTTCTTTCTGCTACCTGGCTGTTATGAAGTAAGAAGTCTTCCTTGCCATATTTCTGCCTTGCCACGGGCCTAAAAGCAACCGTGCCAGACAACTATGTACTAAAACTTCTGAAACTCTGAGCCAAAATAAATCTTTCCACCATTAAGTTATCATTGAAAGTATTTTGTTGCAGCAACAAGAAGCTAACACAGATATCGTTGTACTAAAGGAACAGATTTTTTTTCTTGCCATTATCTCCTAAGCAATACAGTAGAACTATATATGCAGCATTTATATTGTATTAGGTATTATAAATAAATGAGATAGTTCAAATATGAGACAATCATAAGTCATATGCAAATACTATGCCATTTTATATAAACCACTGTGGACAGCCAAAGATAACTATGTTTAAGTAACCCAAAGAAAAAGTTACTGTCTTATAATTTTATCCCTACAAGCATATTTATGTTCTTTCACATATTACTATGGCAAATTTATCTATAAAGGACAGGAAAAAGAGACAATTTTGGCAGTCTTAAGAGCAAGTCTAGCATATGCCCATTATGGTATGTAGTTATTTGTATGCATTTTGTTGTTTTTTTCCTTAAAAAAGAAGCAAAAGTAAAAAAGATTTGCTCCTTAGGATAATCTGATATAAGGTTACAAGATTTCTTCAAATTAGCAGATTAAAGGTCATTCCCCTGCAACCTATCATTGTCATATCTAGAAAATACTACAACATAAAAGTACACAACATACACACAAAAAAACTTCATAATCTAACAGGTGTTTAAAATCAAATCTTAATTAAAACTACTGTGTTCCAAAATATAGTAGGCATCCTTTTTCTGTATATGAACAGGGTTCATATCTCAGTTTTTAAAAAATAGTAAGGTGCCACTAGTTAAAAATAATATTTCTCACTCTGAGAATTTCCAAGATTAAGAATGCTTCTAAGGAGGCAGGGATGTAGCTCACTTTTACTATGAGCAAAGCCCTGGGTTAAATCGGTATAAGAAAAAAAAGAGAGAGAAGAGAAGAGGAAAAAAAAAAAGAAGGAAAAAAAAAAAGAAGGAAAAAAAAGAAAGCTTCTGTTATGTCACAAATAGTAATGCTGCAATGTGTTCTCCAAAAAAGATTGTATAGTTTTCAATCACTGGTGTAAATTTGCAAAAAAAGATGAGGCTTTTAATAACTGAAATTACTGACGTATTAACTGATACACAATTTTGACTTTACTTGTAATCATTTTACAGTTTTATCCCATAAATGTCCTATGATTATTATAATAAACAGCTGAAAAATCCAGATGTTTAATTGTACATACTTTATAAAGTGACACTTGACACTTTCATACTTGTACATACTTCATAAAGTGAGGAGACAGCCTTAGATACTCAAGAAGCTTAGCACAGACAATGTAAACCAGACTAGCACATAGTCAATATTTGCAAATAAACACAAATATAAACATTGATATACCATTAAAATGCCAGAAGGGATTTTGGAAGATGTCATTTCAAAGTACTTACTTGTGATGGCTACTGCTGTGACGATGGTGATGATGGTGATGGTGGTGATGATGTTTTGAATGATGCTGGTCTTTCTCAGTAAGAGATGATGATGAAGAATTTGAATGCGAAGATCCCAGGCTCTTCCTTTGTTCTTTTGTCTTCTGTAAAACTCTCTTGTATGATAAAGTACAGAGCCAGCATAATAATTTTCCATCAACCTTTTAAGAAAATATTTGTATTAAATTAAGTATATGTGTAAGCTGACCATAAGTGAAACCAGGTAAAACAGTGTTTGACTTCCAGTTACATTTCACATACACATGCAAAAATTAGTGAATGCATGCATTCATAATTTTTGCAAAATACAAATAAAATTACACTTTTCTGAAACTTGGGAAAATCCTTATTCAAAGGATTATAAAATTGGTGAGGATGATTGGTGTACTTCCATTAGTTTTGAGGCATTTTTAATTTGAAGAGCGGTGTCTTACCCTTATTCTTAGAAAATAAGCACAAATAACTGATATGCTTTACAAGAAATTTAGCCTGAATTCTTCTATTCCTGCGTAATTACTAACACTTCCAACAGTGAGTATTGTGAATTTACAGAGAAACAAGAAAGCTTAAATAACTTTAACAACTGATTCTCATTATTTCCAGACTATCTGCTAAAATTTATCTGTATCACGAAAATTAACACTTATAACACATCTGTGGTCATTTATACACAGGTATAGAGCAATGAAAAAGTTGTGTCACCAGAAAGCACACATACATTTTCTGCTAAGGTGACACTTCCTTGCTTTAGCTCTCACTGTAAACAACAGTCTTTTTCGGTCTATTCAGTACTGTTTTTCAAATTTTTCTGCTTTCTGTTGATGATTTTGATATGCTTAATATGGTCCCAAAGGACAGTGCTACAGTGTTGTACAGCATTCCTAAGCTCAAGAAGGCTATGATGTGCCTTACAGAAAGAAACACATGTATTAGATAAGTTTTGTTCAGGCATTGTTAGTGCTGTTAGCCATGAGTTCAATTAAATGAAAAACACATACATATATATGTTATTAAAACAAACTAAAGTTATGTATTGGTCAACTGACTAACACTGGCAGGAATCTAATCATATTTCCACAGGAATAGCTCAGTATTCACCAATTCAGTGTTTCTGGCAACTTTACAGAACATAAACTACTGTAAATAGCGAGAATCAACTGGACGTAAATCAAGGGGGGAGGAAAAAGACTTCTTTCCAAATTAAGACAAAATCTACAAAAATAAAATAAGGTTTTTGTCTTCTGTTTGTTCACACAAGAAGTGCTGGAGGGACATGTCTTACAACTAAGGTACATACATTGCTGTGTGGGGACCTGGGGGAGCCCCTCAAAGAGACAGTCATCCTCCAAATCAACTGAAAGTGATAGACAACAGGAGGCCTGTGTGAATGCTCATCAGCAGAGGAATGCCACATGCATAAACATACTTATTAAGTCACTGTAGGTAGAGAAAAACAAACAATGGTTTCAAATATGCGCCCATATCAAAAGGCAGAAGACTAACTTTGAATTTTATGTGATAATGTGTCAATAGATATTATTGCACACCAGCAACTTCAAGTGATCAGTAAAAGGATATACAGGTTAAAAGATTTACCTAACAAGTCTTCTAAACCAAGTAAGGGATAACCAAATAGTGCAGAATAGACAAAGAATACTCTTTCTCTTTTTTCTTCTTTCATTTTGAGATAGGGTTTCACTATGTTGTTCCAGCTGGTCTTGAATTACTGGGCTCTAACAATCCTTCTGCCTCAGCCTCCTAAATACATGGGGCAATAAGTGTGCACCACCATGTCTGGCTTGAGTAATTTTTAAAATGTAGTAATGCAATTTATCAATATGAATTCATATATTATGCAAACAAGGAGAAAAATCACTATTCCTATCTTTTAATCTAATAATCTGTTTTCAGGGACCCAAAGAACAGATCACGTCTTGGTGTATCAAGTATAATTTTCAACCTATTTGGTATTTCCAGGTGTCATAACATAAATAAAACATACCTTTCTTCTTCCTTCCTCTTTCCGATCAAAAGCACATTGTTGTTTGCACTGTTCACAGGTCTGAGGTGGCCCATACTTTTTTTCTGAATTTGTGCAACGCTGACATTTGGTACCAATAAACGCTGCAATTATGTTACAGTATTGACAAGGCTTGGGCTGAAAAATAGATACACATTTTTTTTGGAGACATTTGAAAATACTAGTATTTGCACAAAGTATATCCAATGTTTCAGATACTTTGGGCATTAAGGAAACTAATAGGTAAAACATTTGTTTTCTGTCAAGTATGTTACCCTGCCAATGACATTTATATTTCTATTAATTCAATATTTACTTGAGAGTCCTGAAACTCACTATTATTCTTTTATTTAAATAAGATCATAAGTATACACATTACTTGAATGATATGCTACATAATACAGAAGCTGCCCAAGAAAAAGTTTTCAAAGAATAAAAACAAAAGGTACTATATGTTTTGAGAGAAAAGTCTCATGTATTCAGAATTTGGGTGAAATAAGCTTTTAATTTAATATCCAGGTTAGCTCAATTATTAAATCATTTATTCAAAAAACACTTTTCAACCATACAGATGACACAAGAAATAGATACTATAGTTGAGTTTTCAACTTTAAAAAACTGGTATAAGCACATTCAATATAAATTATAGTAAATATACCTTGATTTTCTTGGACAGTCAAAAGAAATTAGGTTAGTACACACCCTTCAGCATTTTGAACAGTGACAGATAAAACTGACATACCAACAATTACTGTAACACACATGTAAGAAAACTTGTACTAGGACATTGTCAGAAATTTTGTAAATACCTAAATTGTGCTGCCATATAAAAATAATTCTAAGGATAAAAAGTTTGAATACACAAACTTTATGGGTAAGTGGGTTCTCCACAATAGTCTGCTATATTTGAAACTTTAACACTGAAATTCAATATGCAGTACTTAAAAGATGCACACAAATTGGCAGTTTTAAAATGCTGTCACCTTTTCAACAGATTTGTCTACAGAAATTTTATTTCATGAAATATTTTGATATGTTGAGATATGTAAGAACATGGCACTACATGTTTTTTATAAGGTACCTCTTGGTGAAAAACATTAACTGACCAGTAATAATATGAAATGAAATCATAAGACACTTACGGTCCCAAACTGCTTCACATTTTGAGCACACTTCTTACAAATTGTGTTAGTTTTGCTGAAAAAAATTATACAGATATCATCACATTTCTATAGCTTTCTGGGATAATTGGTACAATGTTAAACTAAAGTAAATGAATAAAGTCAATGGTTCGTACTACTTAAAACTTAATCTAATTTAAAGCAAGTAGTTTTTAAAAAATATGAATATTAGGATTTTTTAGGTTTTACATAAATTTAATTACAAAGCAAAAAGATCCTTATGTCTCGTTTCCAGTCACAAAATCTTCATACATGCCATTATTACTTTTTTTTTTTTTTGTACTGGGGATCAAACTCCGGTCCTTGTGCCTGCGCAGCAGGCGGCGAAACCACTGAGCTAAATCCCTGGCCCGTACATGCCTTTATTAAAGCACAGCATTACCTCTCAATGCATACTTAACCTTCATGAATCTTTTTTCTGTTTTCTTAGGCTAATTTTTTCTGTACTCTCAAAGAAGAATCACCTGTCTAGAAGTTTCTGCTATTCTTTCACTGCTAACAAGTTACTAGGTTCTACCCTTTGAAGGCAGGTGGTAACACCACTGATCCTTCCTCAGGCCCATTAACATTTTACCTTTTTAATATAGATGAACAATTAAGTGCTTATATTTGCATTTTTGCAAGAAAGGCTGTACATTTCCCATTCAGTAATTTACCCTTTATTTCTTCATATGTAAACTGAAGTTTAGTTGGAAAATAACAGCCACTTTGGTTTTGGTCAACATTCTCCTACAATCTGTGTATGACTTAAAATTTAGAGACCAAATCATTTTTAAAAATACTAAATCATTTTCAAAATACAGGAATAACACTCAATTCCTTACATATAACATTTGTTTTTAACAATCAGAAACTGTTCATTATACAAACCTCTCTTGTTGAAATTCTGATCTGCAGTAAGTACATTTTACAATAGGATGCGCAATCCGACATTCCTGTAATAAGACAATACATCAGTCAGCATCTACCTCACTGATTACCCTATCTAGCCAAAGGTCTAAAAGCATCAGTAAGACCTGGCCCCAATGTAAACAACTGGATGACTTATCGTATATGTGGCCACACACAATGTAATTCCTTTGGGAAGGTGTACGTGTCTTTGTCTTTATTAGACGTAGAAAGTATGTTACAAATCAATTAAGAAAGCTGTCAGGGCTGATTTCAAGGGGTGGTTAAATGTAAAACTTATTATTTTGCACCGTTGCTCACAGACAGCATCCTGGCTTTAATGGGATGGGAGGAGCTCCAAATCAGAGCATTCTGTTCCCAAACCAGTCGCTTCGCTTTCCTGGACAGGGAAGAAGGATGCCATCAGCTTTGCGGCTTCGGATTCCTAGCAAGAAAGTGCAAAAATCGTCCCCTGCCTCCTGGTGGAAGGAGAGGACAGACCAGGTAGAGAACTGAGATGAAAATATCTCCACCCCAAGGTCTCTGTGGCATAGACAGGTGTCTGTCTCCTTTAGCCCCACCCGAAACCCTCTGACGCTGATGGGGCCCGGTCCCCTCCTGGGCGGTCTAGAAGAGGATATAGGACGCTGGCTCCCTCTCACGCACCGATCTTTCCCACCTGATGCCCAGGCTCTGGGAAAAGGGAGTCTGGGGTAGGGGGGTGGGGGGAACCTGTGCTCCAGACTCCCAAACCCCGAGGCGCCGGCGAAGAGCAGGGTGCAGAGCGGCGGCCACCCAGCCCCTCAAGATACGGCAGAGGAAACCCCGCCCGCCCGGCGCCCACGGACCTTGCAGAGCTGCTGGCCCTGGGAGAGCTCCTCGAAGGGATAACGCTGGGTACACTTGGTGCAGGCATACAGGGCCGAGGCCGCCATCCTGCTCCTCAGTCTCCTCCTCCACTGCCGCCCGCTCCAAGGCGGAGCCCTACGGGGAACTCGGGCGCCGCTGCCGCCCGGGGTACGGGCTCCTCCCCCTCCCCCTGTCTTGCGCCCACCAGGGCCTCACAGCAAGTCCCCGCGGACGCCGCCGTCTCCCTCCGCCTACACTTCCGCCCCAGCCCACCCACTGACGCCGTCCCAGCCGCTCCCGCTTAGGCCCCAATAGCGGCGGAGGGAGACGGAGTGGGCAGTTCGATGCGGTTTAACTGCGCGGCCGCGGATCCGCTTCCTTCTCGGCCTCGCTTCTCCAGTCCTGATTGGCTGCGCGGACCCTGCGTCAGCCGGCCGCCCCGCCCAACCCCAGCCCCGGTTACGCAGGGGGCGCCCACAAAGGAAGCGGGGCGCTGGCCAATGATAGCCCAACGCTGTAGCGCGCGAAATCCACTTCAAACCTGCCCCGCCCATAGGCCGGGGTAGTTCAGCAGCCAGTCCCAGGTTGGGGTAAGAGCGCCCCAATTCAATTGGGCAAGTGTTCGCGAAGGTTGTCCTCTACCTCTCTTGACTTCCATTGGGCAAAATCATTAAGCCCCTCCTAAACTTATCTGTTATTGGCCAAAATGTCAGTACTTCACCTGAAGAGGCGTCCCCAAGTCAAGCTCACGCTCTCTTGCGTTTCATCCAAGAGAATTGATGGAGTGTTTGAACATTCCACTCGCTTTTATTCTACTAGTCTTTTAATTCACTTGTCATTAGCGACAACACCACCCCTAGCCCATGTTTTCACCTCCAAAAGATCTACACTTTGCAAAATCTCAGAGCCGCCTAAAACCCCCCAGCGTTCCCGCCGCGCAGACGTAGCCCCGCCTACCTTGTGACGTCACCACGAAAGAGGCGGGGTTTCTTCTACCACAAGAGGACGGCCTCTCTTTTGATTGGTTATAAAAGACGTCGGTTAGGACCTGTTGACCTTTCCGCGAGGGCTCTAAGCGTGGGTGTCCCCGTGGGGGTGTGTGGTGGGGGTGTAGTTACCCTGGCAGCAGCACCCCGTTCCCTTCCATCTGGGGTTCCTCTGAGGGTCGCCCCTGGTGGGCGGCTCTAGAATCTGGAAGAGCTCGGGAACTCAGAGCAAACCCAGTCAGCGGAGGCCCGAGCTGTGAGACCAGAAAGATGGCGGCGGCATCGGAGTCTTTGGCTTCTGAGTCTCAGTTCTCAGTGAGTGGCGGTCGGCGTTCGAAGACGCTTAAGGTTGTCCGGCAGTCTCTGCACCTTTCCTTAGGTTTTCAGGTCTTCCTCAGCCCAAGTTCTGTCTGTATCGTTGAGGACAGCGCGGTTTGTCTAGATGGTCTCAACGCTATCCAGGCTTCCAGTGTGCCGTGTTAGGCTGCACTCTACGGTTTCTAGCGAAACAGGTCCTGTGCAGCTCTTTTCCTTTCCTTCGCCTTTGACGCTAGCAGCCCAGGGAGCCAGGGCTCGATTGTGGCACACTGGCGCGCGTAGACACCGCTTCCTTAGTCACGTGAGTGTAACGGCCCCTCTTGGAAACTCGCCGAGACCAGGTAGTCGCACCAGTCTAATGGGCAGCCACCGAGTACCCTGAAGTCTCTCGAAAGTAAATCTTATTCTTACGCTCCTTTCTTGCCTGCAGTGCCCCCCCTCCCGTCATTTATATTGGTGCCTGACCACTGCAGTTAGAGCCCGCACTTCCCACCATATAACTAGGACTATAGCGTGGAAATGCTGTTTTGGAGAGGCCATGGGGGGGATTGCTTTTAAATATTGTTTTCGCCTCCGTAAGGGTCGCCAGTCGGTTTAGTCACCAGTGTTTATGAAATTGGAGTGTCAAGCTCTTTGTTTTGGAAAACGCCTCCCTGAGAAGAGATAAGTAAATGTGACAAAGCTTAAGTTGGAGCACATTTTAGTAATGCTCAGTGCTTGGCCTATTGTTAGGCTCTAAAATTACCTGCATAAATAGCATAGAAGTCTTGCTCAGAGGGAGCAAAGCACTGAAGAGAAGCTAGACGTAATTACGTTAATTACGACTCGGCAGCAGTTTGATATCATTACTGGAATAGTCCAGGGAGAATGATTAGCAGTGCTTGGATAGGCTAGAAGTTTCCTAGAAGGGAAGATGGATCTAACTGCACGTTTAAGAGTTGAAATAGAGATGTCACAAAAATAGAAGAAAGCACCTCAAGCATTTTGGGGTATGTGCTGAGAAAGTAGGTAACAGAAATAATAAGGAGGTAAGAGGTTGATAAACTGAGAAAATAGGTGAAAACGTGAAAAAAGATTAACAGTAAAGAAAAAAGAATAGCAGGGTAATTTCATAGGAGCTAAAGGAGATAGTGTAAGGAATGCAGTCATCCTGAGGAAGTCGCACTTCTCAGTTTAAGGCTTAGGTTGTGATAATGAAGCCAGAAGTATTACAGGGTATCAGTGGAAGGAGGGCAACAAATTTACATAAGGCTGAGATTGATTAGCCAAGAAGTAACTAATGAAGCAAGCAGTTGGAGTTTATTCAGGAATTAAATCAACAACAAGTAAGAAATTTAAGTGGAACTGTAGAACAAGTATTAAGTAGGTGAATGAATTACATAGGAGATGTGATTAAACTTGGGAGAAGAGGGCTTTCATTGATTTCAAAACTTAGCAATGAGAGGGAGACTTAACAATGAAGGCTTAATGTTGAATTGAGCTGAAGGGTGCCTCTGGCATGTAGTCTTTACAGTAATCTTAACAGAAATCTCAATGTTTATTAAGAAAGCGTGTATGTTTTTGTGCATTAAATTCAGCTTTAAATGAATTCTAAATGTCAAATGTATACTGAGAAAATCTGAAATTCTTTTACAAACCAAAGTTCTTTATCAACTTGACCTGCATCAAAATGTGTAACTTGAAAGCTGCTGTTTCTCAAAACAAAAATTACTAAATTTTAGTTTGTTTCTCTGTGTGTAAGAAATGGCCCTGCTTAGAAATAATCCTGCCACTTCCAATAGAATTTTAAAACTACTTTAGGTTAACAAACAGCTGTCATACATAAGACAAGTAAGTACACTTTAAAACAGCCTGAACTTTGTATTCAGTTTTAGGGTTGTGAACATCATCAACTCATGTATTCCACATTGATAAACCCAATATGGAGCTAGTTACAATAAATGATATTTTTATCATGTGAGGATTTAACAAGTATATACACAACAGAGGAAGCAGCTACAATGTACTATAAATCTCAAATGTGAACAACTTTGAGAGCAGTAAGTTTCAATTGATCTTTTTAAAATGTTCTTTCACTGCAACAACAGCAGGAAGAGTGGCAACACCAGGTAGCATTTATTGTTTGCTATGTATCAACTCACCTATAGGGAGAGATTAATGCTAATTAGAAGCACAGGCGGCATAGTATTAAAATAAAAATCTGTTGTAATTGTATCTTGTTCTTTTTCTAATTTGTGTTCCTCAGTCATGGGTGAGGATGTAGCCTTTTTCTCAGACCTTTACTATTTTTTGTATTTTTTTCTTTTATGAAATGTCTTTTGCCTCCCCCTCACTTGGTATGCCTTTTGTGACTGATTTATAGGCATTCGTTTATGTATTCTGGATGTTAATTTTCAGTCCCTTAGGACTTTCAGGTGATTTGTGGCTTGTCTTTGTTATCTTTTAATAAGAGTTCTTAATTTTAAGGTAGTAAAATTTGTTAGTTTTCTCTTTTTACAGTTAGTGATTTAAGAAAATTTTCCTTTGCTCCCGGGCCTTGACTACTATAATCTAAATTTTACTCTACAGATTTTAAAGTTGGAAACTTAAAATCCTTAGTTTACTTGACATTAATTTATTCAACTGTCAACAACACTGCTTTTTGAAAACTCATCCTTTCCCCAGTGGTTTATAATATTATCAATATATTTCCATGTGTGTATGGGTGTGTTAACTGTGCTCTTTTGTCCCATTTTTGTATTTGTTTCTAAGTAGGTATCTGTTATTAATTCTCCTTTTTACTCAGTTGGGGGAAGGCAGTTATCTTCTATCTATGATCATTAATTTTTATTAGTTTTTCTTTTACTGTATGATCATCATTTTCCTAAATTACATTTTCTAACTAGTGCAGATTCTTGCAAGTTGATTTTATCAACAGCCTTGCCAGTCTCCAGTTGATTTTTTTTGATTGAAAGTTCTTTGGTGTTTTTTGTTGTTGTTGTTGTTTAGACAATTACAGTCTGTGAAATTTAGTCTTCCTTTTCAGTTGTATTATGCTATTTCTTTTTATTTCCCTAATGTGTGAGTGTGTTACTTTTCTCTCATTGCTCAGACAAAATACCCAGCATCCCAAGTTGAAGGAGAAAAGGTTTATTTGGCTTGCAGTTCATAAAGGTTTCAGTCCATAATTGGCTGGCCTACAAGGAAGGGTGGCAGAGGGACAACAACAGTTCATGGTGGACAGACAGTAGGAAAGCAACCAGACAAGTTAACAGTGCCTTCCCACCCCTTTTATCTTACTCAGACTACTTAGGATGGGTAGCACTCACTCACGCCCTTAACACCAGTGCCTTCAGGTCCAGGCCCACCTTGAATCAATCACGTACTCTAGATTCAACTACCTCTGAAAGAGCTTGAGGCTTTGGGAGGACATCTAAACAGAAGCCATAACAGCAAGCTAAGAAATGTAGTAAAAATTGATTAGTTCTTCATTTAAAAAAGAATGTTTCAAATTTTGTACCATTAAGTATGTTTACCTTTTTATTTTTTACTTTTTTGGCAGCATCTTAATGCTTCAAGAAAATTGTTGTTAGATGTTGAATGTTATTGATTGCTCATTCACATTTTTTAATGATCATATAGATTTTTACTTTAATGAATTACATTAAAAGTGTAATGATCATCTAGACTTGGATTCTTAGAGTAACCTCACTTTGACACATTGTTTTACCTTTTTTATGTAGTTGGTATGGTTTGGTAAATTTTTGTTTAGGATGTTCAGATTGATTTATTGAGGATACAATCAATGTCTTATAATGTTTCTAACATTGGAATCTGGTTTCAGGATCAGAGATTCCTCATAAAATGAATAGATTCCAGATTCTCTTAGGGGGTTTTTTTTTGGTTTTTTTTTGTTTTTCTCTTAGGGGTTTTTAAAGTACCTGTGTAAGGCTTTAAATACCTGTTGCTTGAATGTTCTGTGAAACTCAGTTCTCTCTAAAACTTGCATTGACGCTTGGTATGTCAGCTCATGCCTGTAATCCTAACACTTGGGAGGCTGATGCTGGAGGATCACCATGGTTTCGAGGCCAGCCTGGGGATACATAGTGAGTGAGTTTGAGACCAGCCTCAACTACATAATGAGACCCAATCTCAAAAAAAAAAAACTAAAACTTGCCGTGATTGCACAGAATTGCTCAGAGCTATCTGTCAGGTTTCTGTACCATTAGACCTTGACTTAATTCTTCAGATTTATTTTCTTTAGTTTGTAAGCACGACTCTTTTTTCAGGTAAATGAATGTATCCATTAACCTAGAAACAATTGCTCTCTATACCCATTTGTAGTTTGCCCATCCTACTACAGGTTATTCTGTGCTACCCAGTATTGATTTCAGCACTGTCAGAAACCTTTCTTTACTTCGCTAGTTTGAAGCAGTATTCTGCTGAATGCATCTGAATTTAATTTGCACTATTTATTTAGAGTGTCTGGCATATAGCTACATTTAGATAAATACAAAACACTAACAGTTGTATTTCTTGAAGTTGAGTCTGGTGGTTTATGCCTGTAGTCCTATCCCCCTAAGAGGCTGAGGCAGGAGGATCATGAGTTAGAGGTTAGCCTGTACAGTGTGACACTATATCAAAGGGAGGAGGGGGCTTACATTTTGTCAGTATAAATAATGGTTGAATTCTATAGTATATATCCAGTGTACTCTTTTTTTTTTCTTTTCTATTATCTCTTATCAGAGGAGTTTATGTACAGGCCAAATCTGTCATGAATATTTGTGGTTTAAATTTTTGAAAGGTAATACAGTACCTGTATTTTTATTTTTCAGAATATTTTAGCTGAACCATCAAAGTCTAATGGAAATATGATTCATCGTTCTTCATCTCTGTATGTATTATATCCACCTGGTAAACCTTTCCTTAATAGTGAACTACGGCGCTCCCCAAATAAGCCTACACTTGCCTACCCAGAAAGCAATAGCAGAGGTAAATAAACCCTAAAAAAAAGATGTAATTTGTGCTTACTCATTCCTTTAAAGTTTAAATTTTATTCTTTGTAATTTTGAAATTAGAATAGGTTATTGCCCCCTTTACTTCTGTTTCTAACCTCAAAATATAATGTTTTTATTGTGTTCCTAACATTGATTGTGGAACATTAACTTACACCGAATCACTGAAGGTGAACTATCTTGAGTCATCTTGAATCACCTATGCCAGGTCTGTCATGTCTAACATCAGTCAGGAGCCAAGACTGCTTTTACTTCTATAATATTTCAAAAGAGTATTGTTTTTCTTTTTTTGTTGTTTTGGGTTTTCATCATCTGTTACTTATATGTCTTGATGTACTCCTAAGTAATAAGCCCTGCCTCCAATTGTCTTAGCTACTTCCTTGTTGCTGGGATAAAATACCTGACACCCACAAGGTAAGGGAGGAAAGATTTATTTTAGCTCACAGTTTGTAGAGGTTTCAGTCCATAGTCTACTGGATCCAGGGCAGGGTGGCATAGCAAAGGAGAAACAATCTGTGGCTCAAGATAAACATTTCCATTCCAAATGGGATAGAAAGGAATGGGACCAAACAAGACCAAAATCCAGCAGGGCAGACACTAAGTCCTACTGTTCCTTGTCCAGTATCCAGGATAATCTGCAGCAAGATGTGAACTCCAAAGAGATGGGCACAGATTTACAGCACTGTCAGTGGTTGCAGCTCTTATGGCTTCTCTCTTGGGCCACTTTTGCTCACTCCTTGTGACTTTCCACAGATAATCCATGTTCCTGGCTTCTCCAGCCGTGAGGGTTCTCCACTGTACTTTCGGATTCACAAACTGCCCTTTCAGGGGAACACTGACTGGTCTCCCAGGCCTTCTGAAATCTGGGTGGAAGCTTTCCTGACCCCACATCTCTTGCATTCTACATGTGCCTTAAACCAGCTCTGATGCCAAGGTCTGCCAGCTGGAGCAGTAGCCAGGCTTCCTGCTCTCCTGGCTCTAGGGGTTGAGTGCCTGGATTGCTGAATGCCCTGAACCCAGTCCTGAGGAACAACTTTCTCAGGCCACCGCCATTCTGGAACATGGTCCTCGTCCTCTGGAACTCTCTTCTCAAAGTAAAGTCTTTCACTTTTACAATTTTGAGGCCCCAAAGGCTGGAGTCCCACTGGTTCTCCTCAGACTATCGTTTCTGTTGTGCAGTTCCAAACTATTTGGCTATTCTCTACCCACTCTGCCATGAATTGTTTCTCCTCTGTTATACTGCCCTGCCTTGGAGCCAGCTGACTGGACTGGAACTTCTACAAACTGTAAGCCAAAATAAACCTTTCCTCCTTTAACTTGTGGGTGTCACAGGTATTTTGTCCCAGCAACTAGAAAATAACTAAGACACCAGTTAATGACATTATTTCCTCTTGTCATTGTCCATTATGTCTGTCTTTAAACAGTTTGGATTCCTTTCCATGGCTCACATAATATGTCTTAGATTTTCTAAAACTTATATCCTATCTGCCTTAATAACTTCATCTCTAACCTCTCTTTTCTTTAATTCCTTGCCCTTATATCCCATGCTCTGGCCACTTTGAAATATATTTGTACCTAGAACTTATACCATCTATATTAGTTGTCATCTATATTACCATCTATATTAGTTGTCATAATTCCACAAAATCCAGAACATTCCGCAAATTATAGCAGCTTTAAATAAATTTGTTGTGTCACAGTTTTGTATAGGTCAGAAGTCTGAGTGGGCTCATCTGGGTCCTCTAGTTAGAATCTTTCAATGCTAAAATTAAGGAGTTAACAGAGGCTATGCACATTACTTGAAGGTGTGGGAAAGTGCTGCTTCTACCCTCATTCTTGGCTATACATAATGGAATGTATCTGTAAAATGTAATGGATGTATCTGTAAAATATAATATTGAGTGAAATAAATTGAAGTTCAAATAGCATATAGGATTTCTCATTTCAGTAAGGCAGAGTACAAAGAACACTATAAAATAGAGAGAAGGAGACAAAGGGGTTAGATCTCTTGCAGATGGAAAGGTATCCTAGAGAATGTTGAAGGGGAGATAAGTAGAATAAAGATATGACATATCTAGTTTACAGACCTACAGGTGAAGGTTGAACAACCAAGAACAAACTGGAAGAACAAGTGTACAGGTAGTTTATTTAGTAATATCAGGAACCAGGGATTCATAAGTGGCCAGCACTTTCTGATTATTTTCTACTTTAACTAGCTTCATTCTCTCTTGCTTCTGACCAACTCTTTCCCACGTGGTAGGAAACATGACTGCTAAATAGCTTTTGAGTTTTAAGTGGAACCACGTATGGTTTCAGCTTTTTGGACAAAAGTTTCAAAAAGACAACCATTATCTGGGCTTTAGTTGGGTGTCCTTTGTGGATCAAGTACAGTGGACCCTTGACTTACGAACTCGATTGGTTCCCAAGGGCTGGCTGTAACTAAGTCAGTACAGCTGAGATCTGGATGTTTACCTGGGTACACGGTGTAGATAACAAGAGATAGATGAATCTTCCATTAACCTAATTAACCCAAGTTCGTATGTCAGGCTGGTCATAACTTGAGGGTCTACTGTGGCTAGATTTGTGAAAAATTTTTAAAAAAATAAATCAGTTCAAGGTTTAGCTATGTTAATACAAGAAGTTTCCAGAAAAAGAGGTATAAATCAAGCAAACAGTTCAAGTTGTATGCTATACTTACATAGTAAAATGTGATTAAAAAAAAATGAAATAAAAAATATGTATACTCCAGAGGTTCAGAAAAGGTTAAACTAAAAAGATATTAAACAACATTGATCTTTAGGCAACTATCTTGTTCTCGTATCTTTTTCCATTCCTTTCAGGTTCCTAGGTGTATGAATTTGTATTTTACGTGTCCATTCTTTCCAGTTAGGTTGTAATCTCATTGTATACTAGAAAGAATAAGCTATCTTATAAAATGTATGAGTGTTCTACATGGGACTTGTCATAGCTCAGGCAGACATTAAAAAAAAATTTGAATGAGTGACTTGTATCAGTAAGTAGAAAAACATGCCTTGTAAAGAATAAGAAAACTAGGTTCTCAGAATTTCTGATAGCACCTCTTCCTAACATAGTTTACCTGAAGTTTCATTTAAATTAGTGTTAAGGGAGAATGATTCTGAATAATTAATTGATAAAAATAGTTTTGAAATGTTTTAAAGATTTATATAATGTGGACTTGGTGGCACAATTGATGTGATTAAAATTTTTAATTAAAATACTTGAATAATTTACTAAAACAAGAACAGAAAGTTCTAAAACATTTTTGGGAACATGTGTAAATAATAGTTGTTTCTATATATATGATACATGTGAATTTAGTTTATGATAAATTATGACATTTTCCTTCATTATAAAGTTGTTGTTTTATTTAAAATGTAAATGTAGAATTATATGAAACTAAATGTAATGAAAGAAAATGTGAAGCTTATCTAGTTTTGAGGTTCTGAGCAATTAGTATATTAACAAAGAAAACTTGAGACAAAATGCTAGGTATAACTATATGAAAAATCAAAACACCGGCTGCTCAAGTTAACACCAGAAGTAGAATTAAAGACATAATAAAATGGAAGGAGGAAATCTTTTTTTGATGAAAAACTGGGCGAAAGAAATTCATGAAAGAGAAAATTGGCCAGAAATAATTTAGCCTTTAATAGAAATACCAAATAACCAGAATTGGCAACTTTTCCTTATCAGAATGATAAGAAATTTTTGTAATTAATAGTCTGTATTGGCAAAGATATACTTCTGATGAAAGTGGATTTTTTTTTGTTTTCTTTTTTTTTTTTTTTTTGATATCAAGGATTGAACTCAGGACCTTGCACTTGAGAAGCAGGCACAGTGCCACTGAGCTAAATCTCTGGTCCCAAAAGTATAAATTAATGTTACTACTTTTGAAGGTACTCTTGTTTCAGGAACATTTAAAATAAAAATATTTTTGACTATTCATTTTAAAATTTTTAGTCATTGTTTGAGGAAATAATTTTTAAAACTATATGATTATGTGAGTGATTCCTGTTTAATAATGCTAAAGTAAAAAAGCAGAACCATACATTTTTATTTGTTTACTTTACACATTTATGAAAAAATTGAAAAAACCATAAATGACAGTCATTATCTCTGGGTAATAGGATTATTGGTGGTGGTTCTCTTCACTGTGTACTCCTGTGTCTTCTGCATTCTTGTACAATAAATATGTATTATATCGTAGAATTAGAAACTTTTGAGGAATATATAAAGACTGCTTAGGTTTTTTTCCTAAATAATGAAAAAATACAGTTTAACATAGCACTTTTCATGCTTGATTATGTTTAATTCTACAATTGGAGTCTGTGTATGATCATGTATATAAAAATGTTCCAAAGAATGATCCCTTACTGGACCTACTTATCAATTTTTATTTTTCAATGAATTTTCTCCATATGTTATCTTACATTATCATTATATATTTGGCAGCCATATTTTCTGCTCTAAAGAATCTTCAAGATAAGATTCAACGCTTGGAACTTGAGAGGATTCAGGCAGAAGAAAGTGTGAAAACTTTGTCCAGAGAAACAGTTGAATATAAAAAAGTACTAGATGAACAGATACAAGAAAGGGAGAATTCAAAGAATGAGGAATCAAAGCACAATCAAGGTTTGTTTATTACGAAGAAAACTAAATTCTATCAAAATAAAAATTGTAAAATTATTCAAAAACTTCAGGAATTACAAAATTGCATTATGCCCAGGTGCAGTTTCATATGTCAGGTGTTGATTTCATATGTTATCTTTTCTGACGGTAAGGTTTATTTGACTAATATATAGAAAGGGAATGATTTAGGTAATTTAAAAAAGACTTTACTGGAATATACTGTTCATATCTATTTTAGATTGAATTCCTTATTAAAACTTCTGTAGGTGAGCTGATTTCTGCTTTTCTTATGTATTCATTCTAGAACTGACATGTCAGTTGCTAGCTGCAGAAAATAAATGTAATCTTTTAGAAAAACAATTGGAATACATGCGGAATATGATAAAGCATGCAGAAATGGAGAGAACATCTGTCTTAGAGAAACAGGTATGCCACCTCACAAACTGATACTCAGTAGTTATTGAGACAGTTAATTGAGGTAAAGACCTTTTTTTCTCTGTAGTAACTTAATGCTACTGTCTAAAAAGGCTAAAAATTCTTGGGATCAGTTATGGAATTGGCTCTTTGTTATTGTATTTGATAGAATTTTATTTAAATTGGAAAAATAGTTACAGGGTATTTTAAAATTGTTAACATCCTTGAGTCTGAATTATCAGAAGTGTAAGTGATCATATGCATCTGTACCTCTTAAATTTGTTTTAAAGACTCAAGTGAGATAGATTTGAAGGCTCATAATTCTTTTAAAGCTTTTTACAATTGTTTTGACTAAATATTTTTTCTGCTGTTGCACTAGAGGTCTTTGTATTTAAGGAACTTGCACATTTCTGAGAGAGTATTTGCAACATTAGTCTCCAGTATGGTTTTTAAGCATCCCTTCTTTTCCTGCTATGACTGTAGGGCTGGAGATTTAGCTCAGTGGCACCACACCTATCTCATAAGCACAATGACCTAAGTTCAATCCCTGGTACAAAAAAAAAAACCAAAACCTGCTATGACTGTAAAATTTAAATTCATCATAAGCCATAATTCTGGATATCTTAACTTTATACAAAATTTAATTTTATACAAAATTTGATTAAATATGCTTAACATGCTAGATACTCCACTGTATAAAAGAGAAATGCTATTGATGCTTTCTAGCCTCAATTATCTTTCCGTCCTAGTTGAAGAGATCAGACTTAAGAAATACCTGAACAGTCATATAGCAGTATATGAAGGAATGTCTAATCTCATATCTCTTCACTATGCCATTGAGTTTATTAATTACAATGACCATATATTTATTTAATTGGGTCTTTTTCCATCCACAATTTTATTTTAATGTATTTCATTCTTTTACCTCTGTGAGCACTATGGGCCATTTTTTTAAAACTTGATTTTTCAAAATTAATCCTTTTGAGAGTTATTTATGTTGGAAATTTCATACATAATAAATTGCTTTATGAGGCAAATGTAAATTTGTGTTTACTGATACATGATGGATTTAACTGCTTTTAGTCCACATTTGTGTGCTCTAGTCGTTTGGTATTCTTTCATTGTTGTAGGTTGCTGAGGTTTTACATTGTCTTCCTGTACATCATATATGAAATCTCCAGTAGCGCCTCATGTGATATTTATCTTCAGTATCCCTTCATTTGCTTTTAGGTTTTATTACCTTCTTTGAATCTTGTGATTTTTCTTTCTTGCTTTCAAACTTGCTATGCAATCATTTATTATTGCTGTATTTTGTCACATTTCTAGAATGGGACAGTGGAAAAGGAGTGTCAGTTCATTAAGACAACTTGTAAGATACCTTGACTAATATACATAGCAGACAACTATTAGATGTAGATTATAGATGTCTGGAGCATACTTCTAGATTCATCAATAAAACTTAAATACTGTTTAATATGGATAGTTCAATGGGAGGGGCTCCAATACTTGAACAAATTCAGACATTCTTTATACAGTGTAACTATCCACTAAAGTGCATAGAAGGAAATCACACTAATTCATGATGAAAGTATTATTTAATATTACTTTGTCATATTAAAAGTTCTTTTAATATTGATTACTACTATAAACTTATATATGAAGGTAATATATTTACAAGTTCAGATACTTAGTGTTTTGGCTTTTTCCTATAGATCTTAATTTAGTATTTTTCCTCTTCTTACTCTATTTTCATGGTTTTTTCTGTGACTGCCAGTGCTTAAGTGTATATAAAAGGCAGACTTTTAAATCACTGGCCCTAAACTTGAAGAAACAAAAATAATAATGTTGCTGGGCATGCAGGCACATGCTTATCCCAACACTGGACAGATGGAGGTAGGAGCATTGAAAGTTCAAGGCCATCCTAAGCTATAAAGGGGTTGCAGACTAGCCTGACTACAGAGCAGGACCCTATCTTTTTTTAAAAAATGGGGGGAGGTGGTGAATAAGTTTGTGTAAACGATAAACATAAGACACCTAATTAGATAAGTACTAAAGAGGACCAGACCAAATGGAAATATTTGCGTGTTTATAAAGCCTATATGTCCAGTAAATTCCTACTTTTCCAGGGCATAAAGATACTCTTACCATATAAAATCAAATTATATAAAGCAGTGTACAGTAAGAACAATATCCATTTAAATCATTTATTTATTAATGATTTGTTAATGTCCAATCATTTATTAATGTCCCCATGGTTTTACCTTAATGTCATAATGTAGAGTTCCTCTCTGTATCTGAGAGTTCTCTGAAAGGTCAGATAAATAGCATAGTGTATCCTAAGAAATATGCAATGTTAGAACTTTTCAGGTTTTTGATTATTAAATTAGTATGTTATGTCATATTGTTTCCCAGGTGACCCTAGAAAGAGAACGACAACATGATCAAACACATGTTCAGAGCCAACTTGTAAAACTGGATCTTCTGGAACAAGAATATAACAAACTTACCACAATGCAAACCCTTGCAGAAGTCAGTTAATGCATCTTTTACTCATTAATGCGTAATGATATGTTTGTAATTTTTTGAAATAAGTTTTGCATCCCTCAATATTGATAGCAATAAAGTTGATCTTATAAAAAGGACACATGTAAGAATTTTTTAAATGAAAACAATTTGAAGAATGTTCACATTTTTTAATCTTGGTCATAAGGGAGTTAGTTTTTGAAAATATTGAAAGGTAAAATGTTTTTGTATATTAAGGCTTGCAGCACTTGGTTTAGGTTGTTCTCTGAATTAATTTTAGTTTTAACTGTGTAGCAGTTGGGAAGCATTTAATACCACTGAGTAAATTTCCAGATTTACCTTCATACAGAACTGTGTTCTTTGGCCATAGATTTTACCCATAATTCCATCTAACTACCACAAAAATGACTTAAGTGACCAAAAAGGAAAGTGTCATTAATGTTTTCAAGCCCAGAGGCATTACTAGATTGATTTACAAAATTTATGGCATGTTCCTATGTTGTTACCTAAAATTTTACTAATAGACACTTTTCATTTTGATATTTTTATCTCTAGAAAAAGATGCAAGAATTGGAAGCAAAACTCCATGAAGAAGAACAGGAAAGGAAGCGTATGCAAGCTAAGGCAGCTGAGGTAAGTTGAAAAATCAGCAAGTAAGCTCATTTTTAATACTCTGGATATAAATAAACAGTTATATTTGAGGATCTTTGATTTTTTTACAGTCTAGAATAGTCCACTATACAGAGTAAATTAATGTACAAAATTGTGAACATGTACTTTTACAAATAGAAAATTTGAGCACTTCTTAAAAGCACTTTTTAAGCTGGAGATGTAGCTTGCATACCACGCATGAAGCTCTAGGTTTGATCCCAAGCACTGCATAAAAATGTTTCATTTCTTGACAGCATTAAGACACCAGGACAGAATCTGAAACACTGGTTGCTCTAGTACAGTTATGGCAAACGTATGGCATGCATGTCACAGTGGACTATTTATATCATTGAAAGCTCTAAAAGGTTTGCCATCACTACTGTAGTAGCTAGTGACCCAAACCAGCTCACAGACCCATATCAGGAAAATGAGCTCTGCTTTCCTAGTTTTGGATTTTATGTAATGAAATGGCTGAAATAGAAAGGTGAGGCTGAATAGATTCGTAACATTGAATTTATATGCACCAACCAAACTGCGCTTGTAGAAGGTAGAAGATTGCTGCAGTCTTACAGAGTCAGTCATTAAAGTTTTTGTGTTTTTAAATGAAAGCTTGTTCTGAAGTTATTTGCCCAAATACCTTCGAGATACTCTCCTCCCCTTCCCAAGATCTTTATGACATTTGCAAGAACCTTTTCTCATTAATATTAGAGCCAAGTCCAGATTTCAGAACAGGAATAGACCCTCTGTAGTTCAGTCTTTGATGAAGAATGTAGTGTCCTGAGTTCATGTCATAAATGTGATCACTGGAATATAAATGCCAAGTTACCTGTTCTAGTGCTCTCTTGAATTCTCTTTGATTTTGTTTGCTCTTCTGGTTTAGATCTAAAATGCCCCAGAAGTCGTGTTTGGAAGGTGATTGAATCATGGCAGTACTCTCATTAACAGAGGATTCATCCATCCATTTGTTCCATAGTTGAATATATTGTTTTTAAGTGGGGCTTGTTTGGAGACAGGTCACTGGGGGCTGACCTAGAAGCTTATCTTTCTGTCTCTAGTTCCTCCCTTTGTTTTGTTTCCTGGCTGTCCTGGGTTGAGCAACTTTCCTCCACTATGCCCTCCTGCCATGCCTTTTCTGCCTTGGAGCCAACCAGCCATGAATCCTCTGAAAATTGTGAGCCAAAATAAACCTCTTCTTTAGTTTTAGGGTGTCAGATATTTTGTTCCAGCGACAGGAAAGAGACTAATACATTATCTTTCTGTTAAACCTGATAATATTTCCTTCTATATTTATCTTCTAATCAGTTTGTGGATTTATATTTTTCTCTCGGTATGCTTTCTGATTTATGCAGCTTTATTTTGACCTTCCACAAATTTTCTCTGCCCATTCTGACTTTAGAGTAGGCTGCTTCATTGTGTCTCCATTTCCTCACATGTAATATGTAGACTTATGGGTTATGCTTTATACACATTGTGTTGTTGAATCCATTATATATGAAATGGAAAATATAGCAAATTTATTTTATGAATTTGGGGTTAATTTTTGGTTCCTTTATTTTTCATTTAGTGGGCAAGAAGTAGAGACCAAGTAACTTGCTGCTGATAATATATTATGAGTAAAAGTTATAAATTCTGATAGTGAACATAATTGTAGTGGAAGAACAATGGCCAGGGATATGTGGTTTCAAGTCTAGCTAATTCTAGAGTATGACTAGAATTAATTTATTTATTTATTTAGAAGTTATTTAATCATTCAGAGCCTAGATTTTGCCATTGATAAAGTGACCTTCATTTTATATCTTAGTGTTGGGAGATCAAATGAGACAAACAATAACAAAGTAATTTAGAATGTTGACCCTCTGGCTCAAAATATAAGACAACTGCTAGGAAGACCTAGGTGGAAGTTAAATTGCTCAAAAAAAACCATTCTTTTACTGCTCACACTCACTGTCATAAGTCTTCCAGACTTCCAGAGTAGTGATTTCCTACTCATTGAGTTTTATATTTGCTGTGTATAAAAGGACTGTTATGTGAAAGTTTGTAGGTGCTCCTGAGAGTAGAGATCCTTGTATTCCTTTTTCAATAAATACATTTTGCACCCAAAAAGTGCAATCATTGTGAAAAATACTAGAAATTATCTCAGTGTTGTTTTGCATAATCTATTGATTCTAATTTTTTTCCAGCTCTATTATAATTTCCTGGGGAACTTTTTAAAGTACTTTAAAAATGTAAATATCTCCCAACTTGGGCTTCAAAATCCTTATGCCTAAAGAAAAACCTGGCAATCTAAATTTTTCTGAAACATCAGATAGTTTTGACCCATAGAAGATTTTTTTTTTTTTTTTTTTTTGGTAACAGGGATCAAACTTGGGTCCTTGTGCTTGCGCAGCAGGCAGTGAAACCACTGAGCTAAATCCCTGGCCTGACACATAGAAAATTTAAAAGAACCACTATTATAGGCAAGATAGTTTTGTTTGTTTTTAAGAATGTTAAAAGTTGGTTTAGGAAAAAATGCCATTTTAAAAACCCTTAGTAAATGCTTATGGAATTTATACCAGAAAGATAAGATATTCTTTTATTATAGTTAGGTTCCTGAGAAAAGGACTTGGTATTTGCTAAAATAGCCTGTAGTGCTTTTGGACATAAGTTTCCAGTTCCTCCTTGTATTGTAAGTACTGTATATATGTTTTTTTAAAAGTTGACGTGTATGTATTTTGCTCTCCAACTGTTTTGCATGTATGGCACTGTGGTAGATGCCATTTTTGAAAAGGGAAAACATTGAATGATCAGTTTAGTTACATATATAACATTTAACTCATTACATAACATATATGGAGCAACTATAAATAATGGAAGTTTGAGTTCCAGAATGAAGGGTATAGTTTAATACAGCAGTTCAAGATAAAATGAGAGATTAATATTATAAAATATTGACAAAAGTTGAAATAGCAGTTCAGTAGTAGTTTTTATTTCTACAGCATTAAATTTAGGCTGTCATGTTTTTCCTAGTTGCAGACTGATCTAGAAACAAAGAGATTTGCCTTTGAAGATAAAACAACCTCATATGCTCCCACTGCAAGAAAAATTAAAAAAAAGAAGTCAAAACCACCAGAAAAGGTATGAAAAAAAGAACTAGTGAGGCAAAGTGCTAATTAGTACATTGTGTAAAAATACTGTTAAATTAAAGGAGTGAATCTTTGTTTCTTCACTTGCAAAGTGAAAGATAAGTAAAATTTTCTGCTTAATTTTTACTCTGGTAGTGACATAATATATATGAACACATTTTGGAACTGTAGAATAATGTACAAATGTTAGTCTTATTCAGTCTTACATTAGTGATCTTTGTCCAGTGCTTTATGTAACTGTATACTGTTTCTGTACTTTAGAGTATAACTGTTACTTTATCAGATAATTTGTTTTGCTAGCCTTTCTTGGGCTAGGACACATATTGATAAGTATTGTTAGGAATTTCCTGGAGGCCATAGTATCAATATAGATTAAGCAAGTAATAGCTAAGAAGTAATCTCAAAGTCTCAGGTTAATATAGTCATATTTTTTCATCATGTGAATAAAATAATTCTTTTGCTTTCAGAAAGGACCTAGGAATTACTTTGATGCACAACCTCATTATAGATTATGCTTACGTGATATGCCATTTGTGGCTGGAAAGGTGAGTTGGTCAAACTTTAGGGTTTTTTGTATAATGTAGGTATTTGAATTAACTCCACACATTGCTTATCTGCCCCCTTTACCAAGTTGGATTAGAGTAACCTAAGAATAAAAATGAAATGGAGACAAGTATTAGGGAATTAGGGCACCAAGGAGATGAGGATACTTCAGACCACTATCAGGTCTGATTTATATTTAGATATGAATAGGTATCATTTCCAATTTGTTCAAATCCAGGAATCTGACTAATTCTCTAAAAAATCATAGATTCAAATCTTTGTGTCCTTTAGTGCTTAAATGTAGAGATCTTGTCAACTGTCAAGTACCTGTGATTTTTAAGTGTTTAACAGTGTTCTTTTTCATGAACTGTTTGTGTTACTGGTTGTTTGATGTGTAGGTATCTTGAATGCCTAACTAGATTGTCAATTTTAGTAGCTTGGGTAGTAAATATTCTTTTGACTTTTATTTATTTATTCATTGATCTATTTAAAACCCAGAATAAACCTTCAGAGAGCAAGTTGGGTGTGGTGATAAGCTCAGTAATCTGGCACTCAGGAGGCTAAGGAAGGATTATGAGTTTGAGACCAGCCTGGACTACATAATGAGTCCCTGCCTCAAAATAATTAGTAAACCCTCAGGGACAGCTTAGGGAATGAACTCTTTCCTAGCTTTTCTGCTTTTATTTTTCAGGTGTATGAGGTACAAACTGTTTTTGCTGTTGCTGTCCTTTGCCATGAATTTAATTTCTTGTTGATTTGCACACCATCTTTTCACTTACGTTGCTTCTTTTGTCTCTTAGTCTTACTAAGTTCTTTTTTGGCTTCACCATAGAATCTGAGATTCCTAGGGACTGTTTAGATGCATCAGAATCACTGAGTATGCATTTTGAAGAAGCAGATTAGGAAGCCCTACCAAAAAGCTACTGAATGAGAATAATCTAAGGATGGAGCGAAAAAAGTACTTCAAATTTATTTCCTAGTCCCAGTTTGATTGTTAAATTAGGACCCATTTAGTCCTATTCTCTATCCAGTATTTTTATTCTATATAAACATTTAAGACCAGTGGCTATTTTGTGTTTGAAAACTACAACTAAGACCTCATGAGACCTCAGATAGGTCCTTGTATTTCTAGATCTTTTTTATTTCAGAGTTCTTTTGTAAAGTGAATTAAATCTATTACTATGAATTCTACTCATTGGCCCTTTTTTCTGTTTTCAGGCATCCACATAAGAAAAATTAACCCTTGACTACCAAAAAATTTTGAAATGTTTCAGGATAGCTTTATTTTGCTTACTTTATCATCCTATTCTAGGTTATAAACAAATTACTTCTTTTTTCTTCAGCTTTTCATCAAATGTGGTCTTTGTGTTTATCACCTTATCACCTTTTCCTTCCTAAATTGAATTGTGCTATGATGCACAGAATAAAGTCTGCCATGTTTAAATTGTCTGCTAATCACTCTACCAGCACGTAAATGGGAAGGCATATTATCCTTTCACCCATTGATTCTAAAATCCACTGAATTAACAGGTATTTTCTTGGAGCTTTGTATCAGCCCTTTTAAGTCCTGTACTTGTGGAATTTTTACGCAGAATTTTTAATCATGTGAAGACCTTAAGAAATAGATTCATCCTGTCCCAGTTCTGAATCTATCTCATTCTTCCATTATATTTGTTTTTCCCAAATTTGATTACCTGTCTTTAGTAATTTCCACTGAAGTCAGTTATAACAAGTGTTGAATAGGACAAATGCAAAGAAAAAGATTTTTAACTTGTACTTTCTTGAAAGTATTTGTATTCCTTATGAGATACTCTAATATATTGAATGTACTGTCACTTAGCTGAGTATTTCTCAATCTACTGTGAAGGACCAATTTTTATTTTTAACTATACATGATCACAGATCAGTGTCTTTGTAAAATAAATAAAACTGAATTATTAGAAAAATAAAGAAAATATGTAAGTATTGCTAGATTCAATACACATAAAATTAATATAAGCAGAAAAATAACAGGAAGAAAATTTTAAAAACTGCTGCATATTGAAAGTACGTATGTAGACAGTATAGTGAACACATAGTTACCAAAGTTAGCAATATAGTGATTACACTGTGTCAAATATTGGACTAACCTTGCATTTCTGGACTATAACCAACTTGGTTGTGGTGTAAAATTATTTTTTATGTATTGCTGCATTTAGTTTATTAAAAGTAGAAACTAAGAAGAGTATCTGTTCTGTTTGGCACAATGGATTCCAAATCTGGCTGATGACAATTAATTGGAGGACTTAAAAATTCCCAGGCCCTGTCCTCATATTGATTGAGTTTGGAGTGCTGCCTGGGAGTCTGCATTTTAAATAAGCTCTCTGATCATGGAATTCAAGCAAATATTTACTTATAGGCTGGAATAGCATATTGAGATTGCTGGTTAATATTCAAAACAAAAAACAGTTTTTGAAAAGCTACTAGGTTTTCCTCTTTTTGTGACACACATGTACTTAGTGCTTCTTACTAATCAAGAATAGAAAAATTCCGTAAAAGTTGGTCACCTGAAAGTACACTGTTTGACAGGTAAGATAATGCAAGCACAATGACAATATTTCATGAAAAATGCATGGTTGAGACATGTAGAAAGTGTTGGTAGCCAGACACAGTAGCACATGTAATCCTAACTCTTCAGGGGGCTGTGGCAGGAGGATAACAAGTTTGACTCTAATCTTGACAACTGAGTATCTTAGGGAGACTTTGACTCAAAAAAGAGAGACAGAGATGTTTAGTATGAAGGACTTGTATTCAGTATCTAGTTGTAGTTAATCTTAGAACTGGACCAAGTAATTACCTGGTAGTTTTAGGGAAACTGGTACAGGTTACGTTGTAGTTGGGTTTGAAAGCATAGGATAAAAGCTCCAGGCAGAAGAAATGACATCTGCAGATATGATTTGTTCACAACATAGAAATTAGGAGATGGCAGGACATAGGGCCAGGAAATAAGGTTGCAGCTCAGTGATATAGGGTCTTATCTTCCATTCAGAGGAGTTTGGAACTGCTAGTCAATTGATGTAAATCAAAGAATTTCAAATAGGAAAATATGATCAGAATATTTTAAGAGGATAACTCAGAGCCCTATAATTAGAGAAAGGAGGAGAAAGACCAGTTATGATGTTCCCCCTATAAAGAGCTAGGTTCATAAACCAAATGAGTAACAATAGTGTGGAAGATGGGGCTATTTCTGAGGTTGAATCCATATAACTTAGTAAGTAATTTACTGTAGAGTAGATTATGTCCTAGGCTGTGGGAAGGTTTATTTTTATCAAGGTTAGAGAGTAAAAAGAAAACGAGTGAAAGATTTTGCTTCATTTGTTTCTCATAACATTTTCTCTTTTCAGTCCACTAGTCCTAGCCATGCTGTGGTAGCTAACGTTCAGCATGTCTTGCATCTAATGAAACAGCACAGTAAAGTCTTGTGCAATGATCGAGTGGTGAACAACATTTCTTTGGCAAAACAAGTACCTTCACAAGGTAGTAGAAGAAAGAAGTCAGCAACACCTCCCTCTTCCAGCGGCATCAATGAAGAATTATCAGAAGTCTTACAGACTTTACAGGATGAGTTTGGTCAGATGAGCTTGTGAGTTTTTTTTTTTTAAATTATGGTTTTTAGCTTCTTGGTGACTATTAAAGCTAGTTTCATTCAGCAATTATTTTAAGCACAATTTCTGTACAACCCACCTTACTAGGACTGCACAAGTAAAACCTTTATGGGTAAAATCTCCTCTTTCTAATACTATTAAAATTTAACATACCAATGTTTGCATTTAGAGAGCTTGAGGCACATTTAAGTTTAGCAGAACTTAACTGATGAGTTAGGGTAGTGTTGAAGATCAGTCTCCTTCTAGATTTTCCTGTCTACATGTAGGAGAAATGGGCTATAAACAATTGAATACTTTCAAATTAAAAACTTGCATTTCCCTCCAGTGCTTTTCCTAAACTTTTAAACTATGACTAAAAGTTTCAAAATGTTGCTGTGTTAAAAGAAGAAAATTATTCTTTTTAAAAAACATACCAAGACATCAGTAACACCTTGGTAGGTTCAGATATAGTGGACCAAATTGTGAAACCCAAGAAAACTAACCAAGCCCTACTTTTGCTTTGTATATAGTGATCACCAGCAGCTTGCAAAACTTATACAGGAATCACCAAACACTGAACTGAAAGACAGCTTAGAGTGTGAACTAGAGGCATTAGTGGGAAAGATGGAAGCAAAAGCCAACCAAATAACTAAAGTTCGAAAATACCAAGCACAGGTAACTCACGTTTTCCTTCACTCAAGTTTCTAATGATCTAAAAAAACACTTCAGATGTATTAGTTGATGATAGCAACTGTGTATGAAGAGCTACCAGAGCTAATTCTTTGCAAGACAGTTTCTGAGTTCATTACTGTACTGACAATTGTTTCATGGGTTAAGAAATGCTTTTACTTAGATTTTATCTACCAGTGAATCTTTCAGATACTGAGTATTAGCAGTCTTAGTTTGTGAATAAACCGTAACTTTTGAGATGAACTTAAATGGTCAAGTTTGTCCAAATTGGTTCTTGTAAAATACACCTAGAAATTGTTTTGAAAGGAATGTCAGATGTAAATATATGAAAATCATTATTACTTGTTATATTAAAGAAATCATTTACTTAATATCAACTAAGAGTAGTATTACAGTCATATCCAAGGGTTTTTATCCAGAATCACAAGGATCCATTTGTTTTTAAAAAAATTACTGTGACTGCTGGCATTAAAGGCATTGGGTGAATCCAGAGAGGCTGAGTCCAGCTAGGTTATTAGGCTTCTCAGAGGTAGTTGTTACTGGTCCATGACAGTAATTGGAGAGATTTGAAGTGTGTTTTGGATAGAAATATCAGGTATTTGCTGCTAAACAGAATATGGGCAGAAAGGACTGTTGAAGTACTATTGTACCACTCACTGAACAAGTTTGCCATTTATTGGCCAGTAACCATTACAGTAGGCACAATATCAAGTGTTTTGAATATGTTAGGTCATTTAATCCACTGAAAAAATTTGTAAGGTGGTGAAATAGGTCTTTTATGTTTTTTGTACCCATTTTCAGATGAGACTAGGGTCAAATTTTTTGAGCAGCTATTAAGTAGCCCAAAGACATACTAGATCATTGGTAAATAGCAGAGCTGGAGTGCAGGCTTGGTTGTTTTCAACTCCAAAATGTGAGCATTTTAAAAAAGTACTTTATTTTTCCAAAGTTCGTGTTAAAGAAATAGAGGCAAATAATTCCTATAAGCATAATGGTTTTACTTGTTTTTGGGATATTAGACTCAGTTTTATTCTAATGAAACTCCAACATGTCAGCAGCAAGAGAGCTAAAGTAAAAGTAAAGTTCTCTCTTATTTTAAATTATTCCAGAAATGATAAAGAATAAAATTTAAAATCTTTTTCATAATATTAATTACATTATCTCTTCATCCATCTGGAACTTGCCTCTTGGCCTGTTCAGACTAGTTTCTACAATGCCTTTTTCCTCACCTCAATCGTGTCACTCTTTGCCTCCTCATGAATCCTTTCCCTAGCCTCCCTAACTTCTCAACCACCTCTGAGAAGCCTAATTAATATCCTACCTTGACTCAGCCTCTCTGGCTTGATCCAATCCCCTTAATGTCAGCAGTCACGTAATTTTTTTAAAAAATGGATCCTTGTGATTCTGGATTTAAAAACTCTTGAGCTTGACTGTAATATTACACTTAGTTGATACTAAGTAAATGACTGATTTAGACAGTACTACCATAATGTGTTTACTCTTACTTGCTTGTATATTCTTATATTAAATGAGTGTTACATAACTAGTGTAACAGATTTTTTAAAATTTATGGATACGTATCTAGAATGTATTATTTGAGTTTTGGTTAGTATGAGTTATTTTAAAAGTACTGGTTATCAGAAGGAAATGTTTTTATTAAATTCTCCTTTTCCCTGCCTTGTTATTTGGTATAGCTAGAGAAACAGAAGCTGGAGAAGCAGAAAAAGGAAGTTAGAGCTAACAAAAAGACTCTTGAAGAAGGAAAGAGCAGTAGCCGTTCTTCTGGACTCATGGGGACCATAAGTAGGAAGGATTTTGGCAAACTGAGACCTGGAGAAAAAAGCAGGAAAAATCTTCAGTTATTGAAGGACATGCAAACCATACAAAACTTATTACAAAGTAGTAATGTGTGTTGGAATTACTGACTGCTCACACCAGGTCATAAATTTTATTCAGATAATCTGTACCTCATTGATCAGATATTGACAATTTACTTTCCAGGTTTCATACTCGCTAATGTTGGAATTAATTAATAGAAGGTGTT